AATCGAATCAAGGAAAATTTATGGGGATTCTAAAGAGCTGATTAAGGGTAGATTGTATGGTTTGGAACCATGATTCATTGAAATGTGTTTCCATCTTATTTGGTTTATCAGTTATGGTTATTCAGGATGAAGATGGGTATGGTAATTGTTTAGGCCTTAGTGGCCATGTCATATTGTGTTAAATAGTGCAGACCTAACGAAGTTAGTGATTTTGAAGGCGTTTCTCGAGGTAGTGCCAGTTGAGTCTCGAGACTCGAGAAGAAAGCAATTGTAATGATCGGGTCGAGGATTGTAACGGGGGCTGAGAGATTGGCAAATGGATTGGGATGTCACTATCTACGATGTGGATTATTTTATTCCAAGTTTTCGTATTCGGAGGAAAGGGATAACAGACATGTGATTTTCAGAGTTAGGATGTAGACCATCATGGAGCTAGATAGTTGTGGTTTTGGTGGCATGTATGGTAATGTGGGAATACACAAGAAGACTCTTGTGGTATGGTTGCCTTGAGATGAGATCAAGGGTCTACTTTCTTTGAATATAGCCAGGTCAGGTGCAAGTTGATTATTTTCGACAATCGGGGAAGTGAATTGGGAATGAAAAATTTGTTGTCTCTGATGTATCTTTACTAAGTGATGATTTTTATGATATTCATGATGCTCGCCATGAATTGTTTTTTGGGGATTTAATGGCCGGGTGTATGGTAGTCCATTTGATTATAGGTAAAGACTCGATGTTGTGATTAACCCTCAGAATTATTGGTTGTGCATCTACAACGGATTCTTGGTGTTAGGGAGGTTATTCTTGGCAAGTTTTTGTGGTCTTCACGCTATTAGTGATGTGCGTGTGTTTCTCACATCGGAAGCTTCTAGGAAAAGATCTCATTGTAGTCGGTATTCCCTTATGGGAAATGGAGATAGAGTCAAGAGGTGCTTGTGTCGCTCTAAGGATGTGCGTTATAGGGTTGGTTAGCTCGTTGGATTGATTGATATCGCTAGTAGGGTAATCAATGTTGTGATCTATCAACTTCTTGGTGTGGGTGATGCATTTTTCGCATGAAGTTGTTCAGTGGTTGATATTGTTTGAGGAATGCAGTTTCTCTTATGACTGGTGAAGGTATGTGAGGCTGTCAAGGATCAAATGGGTTTCATTTTGGGCTGACTAAGAAGTTCGAATGGTTATGAAGACTGTTCGAGTGTAGCTTAATCCAAGTGGGGGAGAAACGTTTAGGAAGTAATGTAAATATTTCCAAATACGAGTCACATGGAATTTTATAAATAAGGAAAAATGTGTAACCAGTGAGGTTGGGTTACGAGTCAAGGATTATGCATGGGATAATGTCAGTAGTCAGTTGTAACTGTTGGATTAGTGTCTAAGTCCATAAATATAATTGGTATGTACTTGACCCGAGAGTAGCATGGTCCATTTAGGTTGCATGGCACCGGAACAATCTGAAGGATGGATAATTGAGAAGAGGTTATTTATGGTTTATTAATATATTATAAGTTCTAATATATTAATATGAAATCGTATTATTTAATTAGTATTGATCAAGAATTAATTTGGAATTAATTTTGTGATCAAAAGAGACTAATTAAATATATAAGGATTCATTGTGTAAATCATTCATTCTTATAAAGTGGGCCTATGATCCATAGTTCTTTATGTTCGGCTAAACCCATGAGGTGAACCCATGGATACTCCATGGATGTTAAAACCCATGGAGCCTAAGGAATGTGGAAAGTCATGCACATTAGGGTTTACATGGTGTAACCCTAGTTGTGTCACAACTATATAAGAAGCCTTATAGCTACAAAATCAGCACCTAAGTGAGTTGAAAGAGGGCTAGCCGAATTTTGTGTATGCAAGGAATCTCTTCTCAAGTTCCTCCATTGTTGGTGGTGTTGTGGTGATTCCATTTGAGGTGCAACACTTGGGGCACTAAGTTCTTAAAGGTCCAAGGTTTCCAACTACACTAAAAGGTATGTCATCTAACTTGTATTTCATGTTGTTTATACTTCATTGTATGCTAGTTAGGATGATGCTTTGGAAATTGAAAGTTTGCATGTATATTATAGAAAAAATAGATCCAAAGCATCTATAGTTGCATGTACACCATAGGAGTGTTAGAATGCTCAAACCCCATCAGTGGTATCAGCGACTAGGGTTGATTTCCAATATATTTGATGCTACTTGCTTTCAAAAGCTAAAAAAATCATTTTTTGCTTTCTGGACAGTGGACTCGCTGAGTCCACTTGGGAACTCGTCGAGTCCCCTCACAAAACGACCAACTCGCCGAGTCAGTTCATGCACTCGACGAGTTGGTGCTCCAGAATGCAGATTTTCGAGTTCTAAGGCTAGAATTGGACTAGGATCATTACCCTAAACTGTTTTTTGAACTTATAAACCTGTTTTTGATGTGGTAATGATCATGCTTATCCAATTTAAAAGAGAATTGTCAAAGTTTCATGTTTTGTATTAGTTTATATGGTTAGGCTAATTACATGAAATTTGTTTGATATGAATTGTCTTGTTCTTATGAGTTTAATTAGATCATAGACAAATTGTTTGATTTTGTAAGTTACAATAGTTGATCTAATGTTTTTTGATGAATTCCATAACTTGTCCTCACGTTATGGAAATTAAAGAGTCTTATTTTTAAATGTCATCTTAAATGGTTTTATGTTATCCATAACTTGTCCCTAAGTTATGGAACTTGAAGAGTCTTTTACATAAATGTTTTTATGAACTCCATAACTTGTGTCAAGTTATGGAATGTCAAAGTCTTTTCATAAAACCTATATTAAACTCATAAGTTATGGATTCCAAAAGTTTTTGAATAGTTTAAACTTGCCCTCATGTTTTGGAATTTGTAAATGCAAAGTCTTACTTGAAACATTTAGTTCCAAACCCTAGAGGTTTAAAGTCTAATATTCAATCCTTATACTATTATAATATTATAGGTTTAATATTTCTATATATGTATAAGAACAAAGTCAGTCTTACCGTTAGTGGCCTCATTCACGAAGTCGGTCTATAAGGGGGGTATAAGGTTACTGCCTATAAAATGGAAGTTTAATGGGTGTCCACTCTCACCCACCGCTTCCTTTACTGGTGGAAGGTCGTTAGCCGAACGGGTTTGACAGGACATTTAAATTCTCATTAAAAGTATAATGAAATACTAAGTAACTAAACACTTATAAATTTTCCAATCTTAGTTACTTAGGAAAATTGTTAAGTTGTTAGTGGAGCGTGTGTGGTTAACCGCCACACTAGTCTGGGATTGACAGTGCGTGGAAAAGGGTAGCTTGATGTTAATCATAGATCAATGGAGCGTGTGTGGTTAACCGGCACATTGATTAGGTGGTTTGTAACATTGGGTGTACCAAGCTAATTTCCATGGTTATTCACACCTTGTTTGTGATCCTCGGCATCCAAGTGACAAACATGACGGCACAATCGAGATTTAAACATGTCATTGAATTGTTTAATGAATCTCAAAGGATCTAGGAGTTTCAATCCATTTAAATCCTAATGATAAATTTCGTTTTTCATGGTGGAAATTGGTAATCATCATTTACCTAGCTTCAAATATTTTACAATTGGATTACGACATCCCTCTTCCGAATTGTAAAGTATTGTGTTGGGTCCTAGCCTTAATATTTCATGTTGGGTGTTATATTAAAGACTAAAATCAACTAAACTTGAATTTCTCCCTCACACTACAAATAAAATATCATTTAGTGGTATAAAAAAAAGTGTCACTAAAAACCAAAAAAGTGCCATTAAAGGCCCCCAGGGGAATCAGCGGCACAAAAAAAATGTGCCACTAAAGGCCTTTAGTGGCACTTTTTGGTTGTGTCGCTGTAGCCCTTTTAGGTTTTAGTGTCACTTTTTTATGCCACTATAGTAGTTTTTGTTTAAAAAAAACTTTTTTAATGCCACTAAATAATTTTTAAAGTAAAAGGATTTATTTTTTGTTTTTAGCTGCAACTGCTTTTACACAAACATTTATATTTGCAAATTTGGTCTGATTTTATTTATAAAATTAAATGAAATATAAAGTAACAAAAAACAAATAAGATAACAAATAGAAAACACAATAGCATTACTTAAATTAAAACTTAACTTGTCTTACAACAATATTATCAATATTTAAAAACAAGAATATCTTCCAAAATGCTTAATAAGGTACATCTTTAGTAAGGTACATCTTTTAGTCGACAAGGAGACGGCTTCTCTTCCTTCTAATCTTTTAAACCTCTCAATCAAGATCATTTCCTAATTGTGCAGCATTTTAAAAATTGTTCTCTTGCCAATTGGATTGGATTAGGTTTGGCTTCAACCTTATTTTTTTCCTTGGTTTCTGCCCATTTTAAGCTTAAGTTTTGTTAGAGATGTGGGGACTTTAATAGCCTGCACAATAAAAAAAAGTAAAAAAAATGTCAAGACAAATTTTTATATTTTTCTAACATAAGTAAAGATTTTGAATGAAAATGGAAAGGAATAAATTAAAATGAAGTCTTTTTGTCTAGCTATATACGAAGTTTAATGAACTAGTACCTGTTGAAGGATTAAAATGTGTGTGTAGACATGCTCTAAAAATCAACCGACTTCAACATTTTCACATAACCTGAAAACAACAAAATGGTACTGAACTACCATAGGATTGAGAATGTGTAAAAGAAATCATCCTTTAAGCTAGATAACCAATAAGCTAAGGAGAAAATTAGAGCTACAGTGCAAAAATCCCTCATCTCTTCTTTTTTCATCAGAGCAAAAATAATTAAAAAGAGAAGACCTTTTATATATTACGGTTGACTGCAAACCTAAAAAACGATAATATATGTATCTAATGAATTAAGGTTTGTCTATTCAAAAAGGGATAAAATCCAATGCAAATGATTCAATTCGTGTAGCCTCATGCACTAGACAACTGCTTGGTAAAAGAAAAAAAAAGAAATTCTAAATACCAACAGTTACAATAAAACCACTGCAACTTAAACAACAATAGTAGTAAGGGTAGAACTTTTGGCAATGACAGAATGCCCCCACATCAAACCCTCGGTTGGGTCAGCCGCGATTGCACGGAGCGCATCGTTTATTTCAGGAGCTACCCGAAAACCATAAATAACAAACAATTATATTACATATTATATGAAAAACATTTTCATTTTTAAAAAAAGGTAGTATAAACTTACGACTCATACTTCCTCTTCTTTATTATCAGCTATGATTGGCAAAAGATCCCAATCTACCAGCATAATAAAGAACAAGTAGATCTCCACCAAAGTTTACAAACTCATTTATCTGCACAAAATCCAATAAATATTTAAACAGATAAAAAAATAGGTTCAAAATTGAGAAAAATATTCTTACCCATGGATTGCAGTCTAACGGTAAATTCATCAGGGGAAGATGCTATTGTCAGAAATTAATAAATAAGAAATGCATGTATAAATAAATAAGATTTCATCATGCTTATGAAGTATCTGAAAGAATTCTTACTGGGGAGTACAATGAACTCTCCTCTCACAAGCTGCAGAAAGGCACGAAGTAAGGTGTTACATATTTTAGGTGAGACCTGTTACATATTAAGGTTAACCAGAATGTTAACTGCAAAACTAAAAACTAAAATATATACGTTCTAATGAACTAAAAAAGCAAACTAGTGAAATCTATATAAATCTTTCGCTAGTTATGAACTGAAAAAACAAAAAGTTGTTTATCTGTTTGAAATTAATTTGGAGCATTTTCAAATACAAACCTATTCAAATTAAGATGAATCTTGAAATCAATGGATTCTCAAACACACAGATAAATCCCCTTGACCAAATCCCTATACATTATAATAAAAACAAAAACAAGGAAGGTCTAAGAAGAAGAGGGGAAGAAAAAATTGGTGCATACTGTATGCATCATCACCCAGGAAGAACAAAAAAATATAAAGCTACTTTCACAAATATATATAATTTAAACACCTGCAAATGAGAATGTATAGAGGAAGATGTTTGAGTGGTTGAAGGAGAGTCTGAGAGTGAAATGCTTGAAGAATACATACCTGAATTAGGGTTCGTGTTCGTCATGGGGAAATAGCGAAACCCTAATCTGTGCCAATATGCCACAAATCGAATTTGATATGCCATACATCCGATCCGATGTGTCGTACATACCGATTGCACTCCGAAATCTATCATACAACAGATCTGATATGCTATAAGACAAAACCTTGGTATTAAAGAGAATACTGGAGGTTTCGATTTGATCCAAAACACAAGGCAAATGTTCCGTGGTATTGGAGAGGAGGAGACGGTGGTGCTCCGTTGATTATCGTGAAGAGGAGAGAATGAGAGGTGGAGAGGTGGCTTAGAGAAGTAGCGATGCGATGAAAGAGGAGTACTCTATTCCGCAATATTCCATAGTGCCCATTTTGATTTCACAAAAAAAAAGGAACGCCTTCAACCATGGAGGGAATTAGAAGCCGGATTTAAATTAGAATTTTTGATAGATATAGTGGCACATAAATAATATGTGCCACTAATTGTAATTTTATTTTTAGTGTCATAAATGTCTAAGTTCAGACACTATGGTCTTTCCGAATCTTTTGAAAAAAAGCCTTCTTTATAAAGATGATTTTCCACCAGGCGATCAAGGTGAAAGATGAATCCCTTCTTCATGTTGTAGTGAATTTCACTTCCTCCACCTCCTCCAATAATGCTCCCTAACCCACAAGTTCAAGGCCACTCAAAGCCCTATTGGTAGGAAGGATAGTTGTATGTACTCACGTCTTGGAGATGAAAGTTACATATTGACAAGCGGGAGAGTTGGGTATCGAAGTCTCAAGGAAGTTGGCGGTTGACTGAGTTCTTCAATCACTTCCTAAGTCATATAGCGGGCGGGCTCCCTTAAGGACTAGTACATGGGAGACCATGACATGACCCTTATTGATCTAACATATTTTCTTGTTGCTACTGAATCAGCAATGATTTAGCGCACTGGTAAAGCAAATTTGACTGGAAGATCTACTCCCCAAACTTCCATGGATATTGACAATGGTAACAATTGAAGTCCAGAAAAGCTTTCTCTTCCCAAGGGAAAGGGATCGGCCATAGTCAACCCGGTTGACCAAATGGTAAAAGAGAAGGGCTAAGTTGAGATTGTTCCCATGTGCATTCCCAAATAGTCCATATGTTTCTATTGCCAAGACAAGGGGCATTGGTTGCGAAGCTGCATATTTACCTGAAAGATCACAGGATGGTAAGTCAGAGTGTATGACTCTGCTTCACGTAAGTCCACCTATCTAACTCTATAAGTTCCTATTTGGAGATTCTTAATACATGATGTAATGTAATTACATTTTGATGTTTTGAAGGATCGAAGAAATGAAAGGAAGCTTAAAGGAAATAAGTATGTTGAGTCTGATCGCGAATATGGATTTTGATCGCATGGTTCGATGATCAGGCTTGTGAGCTGCTGCTTAAGAGTTTATGATAGATTGCTTGGATAGATAACAACATATTTTCACTTGTATTTGCATTGTAAGGATAAGTTTTCCTCAATTTTTATAAATAAAGAAAAATTTTAAAATTTATCTTATTTTTAAAATGTCCTTACAAGGCATTTGTGAAAATTGTTGTTTATGTTTCCATTGATAGCAATATTGGAATATGAATTTGATATTTCGTTTTGTGGTAGTGTCATAATTTACCAAATAAAGAAAGATTCTCATCACCCAAGTTTTCAATTGGATAGGAACTGGGAATCACAACTTGTAATTCTATGGATGAATGATAATTATCATCTTTGGGAATTAATAATACTAATTCCTTCTTGTTCACATGAAATTGTGAGTCAAGTGAAGGACAAGGGGATCGGGTACACTGGATGTGCGCTGGTCAGGTCCACTACAGAGAGAACGATAGACGATTCGTCATGATTTACTGAAGTTTAGTAAATAGGGTTATGCTTACAAGTTTAAGTATACTTCTGAATCATTGGAAAACTTTCAATGTATGTAGAACGAATGAGAAGAATCAAATTAGGTAGAAAGGTAAAGGCTTCTCCTTCTTTCTCCAATCTGAAAGATGGGAGAGTACTTTAGTATCGTGTTTTATGATCATCTTAATGATTATGAAAACCATATCACAATTGATCCTCTAAGTCATCTTAGTGCATTTCTTCTATGGCTAAGAAGAGGATTCATGAATTGTTGAAATGGTTAAATCTAAAAGATGAGTCATACTTCGTTTTCGTTCCAAAAACAATTCTTAGGGTCATACTCCAAGCTTGTGCTATGAGGGAAATTAAAATAAGAAGGTTTATAAAACTTATCAAATATAGAGTAAAATGTTTTCTACTCTTGTACATTTGAATTGGTAAGTTGTGATGTTTTGATAAAACAAGGACCAACTAAGACCAATTGTTTGAAGTGTTTAGAATCCGTACGAACTCGTGAATATTTGTTTGTCAAGGAATGGTTCATGACAAGAGAATCTTATATGTCAAGAGGTCAGTGGGAGTCTTAAAAGATGCTTGACAGTTTCAAGAACTAATCAAGAATAAACCTATTGTTAAACTCTAGCACACGACTTGAGGTTTGTAACCTATCGTGTTGACATATTCTTGTTTCTCTGCCCATTCCAGTTAAAGTTGACTATGCATGTGAGTTCTTTGAGTTCTCAGTTGTTTGCATAACACTTGGAAGCGATGGCAGACCCTGTGCTACCAGGTGGCAAGAAATTAAGATTGAACAAGTTCAGTCCATATGAGTTTGGATTTGTCACTAACCTTGTCTTGTGATTATAGTTATGACAAATTCACATGGATAGGAACACATACACCATAAAATCTAAGTGTCATAAGGTTTCTCTTAGATTCATGAAAATGATGGTGAGAAACGCTTTCACACTAAATAGATTTAAGGAGATAGCAGTTGTGAATATTTGCATTCTTAATTTTGATTATGATTACGAAATCCCTTTTCATAATTCGAATTGTAAGGAATGGAAAAAAGTCTAAACATTTGTCACTTATTGTTGTAAGTTCTTAAATTGTTTTGACACACATGTGAGATATCTAGAAAGGTGTATGATTTGAGAAGCCTATATAAAGTCTTATTAAAGCATCTCGTATCAGAAATATGAACTGTTGGTATGAAAGTCAATAGTAAAGTTGATAAAGCTAGAAGTATCCAGCTGGATTTCTGAAAGTCAATAAGTATTGATTTCTAGAAGTCCAGTGATTTCTGGGTCACCTCATAGCTAGTGGGAGCATAAGTGTTATGCTAGTAAGATAAAAATTATTATTCTAGTGGGAGCATAATTATTATGGTAAGTCTTTCAAGTTAGCAATGTTAATTATAGAAAACAAAAGTTTCAATTTTCAAAGTTGCAGGATTTGAAAAGTTGTTTTGCTATAATTAAGGGAGAGGAATTTATACTTCATTTCAAATCTAAAAGCTTAGATTGACTTTTAATCATATATATGAATGTTATGTTGGAATGGTTCAACATAAGTAAATTCTATTTATAGAAATGTTAATTGCGTTCTCAATTTTTGATTATTATTATGGCATCCCTCTTCATAATTCGAATTATGAGAACATGGCAAATAGAAATATTATAGCAAAAGACTGATCAATTATCATGTCTTTATGTTTGACATTATGAATCGCATCCCATATGCTTTAGGTATAGGATCGATTGCATATGCTATAATATTATCGTGTTCTAATTTTTCCAAATGCCCAGGGCATTAAGAGGGAAAAAGGAATAAAATCGGATATGACTAAAATGGTTAAGCAATTGTCAAGGACAGTCTGAGGTTTACCAAAGATTGGTTTCTCATGGACAATTGGAAGTATATTTAAATTTTGGAAAGGACCATATTGACATGCTCTGAGAAGAGGTAACTCTTGTTCAGAAATGATAGTCAAAATGGGATATGGAAATGTTTCCAGAAGTAGAAGTTATTCTTTAAATCTATGAAAGATTAGGAAACTTAATGCAAGAAGGATATTCAAAGGAATGTACTTTGAATTTGAGACTTCACTTCCTTGGAATTGCTTTGTAAAACAATCTCCAGTGGAAAATTTTGTAATATTGTTGGTCACGTCTATGTGACTTTTTGTACCATGACAATACATAGGCTGCATTACATGATAGTTTAGCAGTGACAAGAATTAGGAATTCTTACACTTGAAATAAATATTTGGAATTGTGAAATGAGCATAATTGAAATGTTTTTCAATTGATCTATTTCACAAAGTCAGGACCATAGACAAACATAGTGTGCATGCTTGGAGCATGGCATAGCTATTGTTTTAATTCAATTATTAAGTTGATAAAACGAAACATTATACAGTGAATAATGAGTAATCAGTATGGCACTCAAACGTTTTGGGGCCATATAGGATTAGGATTATTCTTGTGTTTCACTTTGCATGTTTTGACTTCCCGGATAACTAGGTTATTCAAACCATCCACAGTCGATCATACTTTGAAAGTAGTATTGAGGCAAGACTGTCATGAATGGGTATGTAGTTTGTCTAGGACAAGGTTGTTGCAGTGTTCATGAGTACTCCTGGAATAAGATTCGAGTATTGGATTCAACCCACGCTCCTCTGAATCACTTCATGGATTTTATCACGAGTGATTGTGAGACGATAATATCTTATATTCTTGAAACGGAGACATGTGAGTTGTAGTTACAAGTCGGTTGCACATTGACATACGTAAACGCACCAGTAACTTGGTGTTATAAAATGTATCGTTGTGTGTAATTTGATGAGTAAGTGCAAGCAAGCATTTGGGTAGAATTTTATCCGTTCCTTTTACCCCACGTGGATAAAAGCGATATATGTGGGCCCCTCGATGATTTAGTGATGACACACCTAAGTGCTTGGCCAAGCCTGGGCTAATTTCATTTGTTCAATTAGTTGGTCATCATAAATCGGAAATTGGGAAACAACAGATGGACATAGATAATTATTATAATCCATGTCTCAGTCCATATGATATCTAGAATGGAGGAATATATGATCTCTTATCTAATGGACGCG